GAGAGAGAGAGAGAGAGAGAGAGAGAGAGAGAGAGAGAGAGAGAGAGAGAGAGAGAGAGAGACTGAGAGAGAGAAAGAGAGAGATCTAGTTTCCATTTTATTGCTTGTTGTAGGTTCATGTGACTGTCATGACAATCAAGTTACGTAACAGTTCCATCACCACAGGGATCTCTTGTGTTGCCCTTTTATATTCATCCTCCCCATTCTTGACCTTAACCTTCAGTAACCACTTATCTCCATTTCTATAATTTAGTTATTTCAAGAATGTTATATAAATGAAATAATACAATGTGTAACCTTTTAAGTTTAACTTTTCTCACTCAGCATACTTCTTTGAAGATTAACCAGAGTTGTATCAATAGTTTGTTTCTTTTTACTGGTGACTGGTAATTCGTGCTGTGGATATACCAGTTTGTTGAACCTTTCATCCATTAAAGGACATCTGGGTTGTTCCCATTTGGTCTAATAGGAATAAAGTTGCTATGTATTTTTGTGTACAGGTTTTTGTTTGTGTATAAATTTCCGTTTCCTGGGGATAAACACAGTAAGATACAATTACTGGGTTGTGTGGTAATTGCAGGCTTAGTTCCCTAAGAAAGTACCAAGCTACCACAGTGGCTGTAACCTTTTACATTCACCACCAGTATATGGGTGAATCATTTCTTCTAGGTCCTTACTATCATTTGACGATGTCGCATTTTTTAAATTTAAATGAGAGCCATTCTGATAGGCATGTAGTGATATATTGCTGTGATTTTAGTTTGCATTTCCCTAGTAGCTAATGAAATCGATTATATTTTCATGTGCTTTTTTGCCATTTGTATATATCCCTCAGTGAATTGTTTGTTGATGTCTGTATAATTATAGTTTCCTAGAGCTGCCATTACAAAATATCACGAACTGGGTGGCTTGATCAACAGACATTTATTTCTCACTGTTCTTGATGCTAGAAGTCCAAGATCAAGGTGTTGGCAGATTTGTTTTGTTTTGTTTAACTGTTGAGTTTTGGAGTTCTTTTTATATTCTGGATACTAGTCTTTAGTCATATATATGGTTGCAAATGTTTTTCTGACAGTCTATAGTTGTTTTTGTTTTTCTTAAGACGGTTTTTCTTGGAGCAAGTTGTTAATTTTGATAAGATCCAGTTCATCAGTGTTCCCTTTTGTGGACCGTGCTTTTGGTGGAAAGTCTGATTACTTTTTGCTTAGCTATATAACTGTTTTACAAATCTGTTCTTCCATGTTGAAGGAAAAATGATTAGAGATTGCAGATTATAAATTTCCTTTTCCTGGAGGGGAATTGGTGAATTTGCTGGGGAGAAGGTTCACTTAGAAGAATAGGGTTGGGTAAGTTGTGAGCAAAATTGTCTATTGTGAGACAATATTTTTTTGTGAGCAGTTTTTGTGAGCAAAATTGTCTATTGTGAGACAATTCTTCGTGGGTTTTTCTCATTTTTTGCAGCTCTTCTGTGTAACAGGCAATGATAGTTTTTTGTTCTGCACTATTTTTAAAGATGTTTATATAGCAAGTTAGCCTTGGAAAAGAGAAAATGTCTACCTCTTTGGCAAAGTTATCTTAACATTGTCATCTGGTTGGTCATCTGAGCTGGGAATGGGGGCATCCTTATTGAGTGCCCGGGTTATCCTTTACATTCATTCACTGCACCCCACTGATTTTAACTTCTAAGTAGTTTTTGAATCTATCCTTCATTTTCATCCTTATCACTAACTGCGCTGGTTCATTACCTCATCTTCTCATTTAGATGTTAAAATTGCCTTTACTTAATTCTTTGAATTAGGGAGTATGATTTGAGGTTTCCCTTCGTATTTATGCTCTTTCTGGCAGGGGAAGGGAGGAAAAAAGGATAGTGTGAATGACACATAGCTTTTCTTGAGATATTTGAGTGCTCTTTCTTGAGATACTCTGAAGGAAGTTTTTACTTTTTGGCTTACGAAAATATTTTAGTGCTGAGTCAAGGATTTTTCTTATTTCTTTTTTTCTGATGATTATGCCGAAAAAATTTTGGTATGAAAGAATCTGTATCTCAGTGTTCACATTGACATTGTACCCAGAACTGAGATACAGTTTTATATTTTTGTTTAATTGATGGGCTTCATGACATCATAACACTTAATAGTATTTTGTAGGGTTAAGGTGAGAAATACATATTTAATTGTAAATAAAAATGCAGTTATTTAACATTGTCCACCATATTATTGTTAATTCTTATGAACATGATGTATTTTAATAGCTGTATAATGTGAAAATCTAAACACGGAATTTTTTTTCCCTTTCGTATAGGAATGAAGATCTAAAGCAGATGTTGGAGAGCAACAAAGATTCTGCTAAACTGGATGCTATGAAACGGATTGTTGGGGTAGGTAAAATCACTTCAATTTTTGGAAAATGAATATGTGATTATATTAAATACATATTAAATAATATGTTAAATAGCAAATTGAACACCCCATTTGCTTTTCAATATTAACTTAGAATTTCCTGTCTAAAATGTTTTGGAAGAAATATTGAACTGTTAAAATTTATCAACTTGAGTTCTAATTCCCTCTTTTCTGTGCTTTGATTTCCCTATGTCTAATATCAAGATATTCCTCTTGTGAGATAGAGAGCTAATCATTTTGAAGACATAATAAGATTATATACAAGAATATTTTGACTTCCTACAAAGAGGGATACTGATTAGCGAACGGATTTTTTTGTGTGTCATTTCATGATCTAAAAAATTATTAGCATGCTTTCTTCTGTATTTCAAATTCCATTACTTCTAATATAAATGTTTTATTCAATTTAGTAGCATAAAGCTTCTAATGAGTATTAGGAAACTTAAGAGCATTGTCCAGTTTGTAGTTATAATGCAAAATTCAAACAATTGGGTAATGTTAGTAGAGAGGTAAAACTATAATGCAATTCTTAATTTTATATCAAATCATTAATAAAATATTTTTGTGATTTGTATTGTATTTGCTCTTTTTTTCCACTGGAGTTTTTTTTACATTCACAGTGGAAAAAATGGCTTCATTGAGTGACTATCTAATGCTGAAGAGTTCTGCTTTTGTCTCAATGGAATTAAATTCACAAAACCTGTCTTGAATATTTTATGCTTTTATTACCACCATTGCTGATTTTATTTTCCAAACATTTTTATATAATGTCAAAATATAATAAATTTGTGTAGTTGAACAAATAAACTATTTTAATAAGGTGACAGCATAACTGCTGACATATGAGTTTGAAATCTCATTTCTTAATATATTAAAGTTCAAATCCCATTTATGAAAGATGATTATGGGTATCAACATGTTCTGTTAAAAGATGAGTTGTTATGAAACTCAAATATATTAAAGTCAAGGACTAACTGTATCTGTAGAACACCTATAAATTACTTGATTCTTACATTCAGGTTTATGTCATTTGGTAATGTAGGGGAAATGTTAAAGGTTCTTTTGTAAATTTTTCATTTCTTAGTGTTATGCTGTATAATAGCATTTAGGAACAGGTAGTTCTTGCTTTATATGGCTTTGATATGTATGAATTTCAGTTACCACAGTTTAGTTAAGTAACACCAGTCTCCCAGACCCCCAATAACATGGTTCAAACTTCAGTTACTGTTTGTTGGGTATTAATGTAGTAATTGCATCATGTATAAACTTCACCACTAACTCTTCAGTCTGCAACTCACTGTGTAGATAACAAATGTGCATCACAAGCAGTGACCAGTCATGTCACTTCTTTTAAGTCTTTTAGTGATTGGTCACTGTGTATGTTATTCAGTTCATGCACAGACAATAAAGCATGTAGCTGTGTTCCCAGTGAGAAACCTACTTGACATTTTATAAAAGTGGGTGTTTAAAAGAGGGATTTGGTCAACAAAGATGAAATAAAAATGCAAAAAAAAAAAAAAAGAAAAGTGATAACATTGGAAATGAAAATCAGATAGAATATAAATGGAGTTATGGAGAAATAGTTGACTGTGGGAATGGTGACACTGCCATTTTTAAGAGACTCTAAACATATAGCTGGAGGAACTTAGTAAAGGTGAGCTTTTCAACATAAATGAGGAAAATGGTTGTGATAAAAAGAATGAAGATATGCTAGATGAAGTGATGGTGCCAAAAAAAATTACATTAAAGAAACTCTAGGAGATAATTCACAACATTAACAGTGCAAAGGATTAAATATTCGAAGGTGATCTAAACTTGAAAAGAAGTTTGGTAATTTACCAAGGTATAGAAAAGATTGCTTAGTATCTTAAGTTAAATGGTAAGAATAAGGCAAGCCCATTCAAACTACTCTTAGTAAGTTAATTCTCAATGTTCCTAATAAACATTTATTTTAAATAAATGTTAGTTTTACTATTTTTCATTTTTCTCTACATTTATAACTGACAGTAAGAGAGTTTTAATGTTTTTACAAAATTTTTAAAAGTCACATATCAATTGTAATTTTTACAGTTGATTACCCAGATTGTTTTGCCTTGTTTCAGCTTGCATTCCTACAGGCTACAGTTCTCCCCTACCATGTAAAACAGGCACTGCTTTTCATTATTTCATTTAACTTTGGATTTTACATCCTGTTAAGGTAAATTATTTCACTAAATTTGAGGATACTGTTGAAATTCCTAAATCTGATAATGTGGTAATTGGTATTTTTTTATTCCTCTTTCAAACTGATAAAGACATAAAAGATGATATTTCCAAAATCTGGACTACCTGGCTTTCATAAATGTAATTTAAATGTAAATAATTGTATCCTAAAGAAATGGAGATATAGTCATATATACCTAGAATTAATAGACTGTCTCTCATTAGGAAGTTTGTATAAAGGTAAATTTCAAACTTGGTCTTTTAACTGTAGGAAAGTGGTCACTAATTAAAAATTATTCTTTCACTTTGAATAATGCCCTCAAGATGATCTATCCATGTTTTTGCAAATGGCAGGATTTCCTTCTTTTTCATGGCTGAATAATATTCATTTTGTATATATATTTCACATCTTCAGCTGTCTATCTGATGACGGGCACTTAGGTCATTTCTATATCTTGGCTACTGTGAATAATGCTGTAGTAACATAGGAGTACAGGTATCTCTTTGAGATAGTGATTTTATTTCCTTTGGATATATACCCAGAAATGGGATTGCTAGATCAGATGGTAGTTCTATTTTTAAGTTTTTGAGGAACTGCTGTAGTATTTTCCATAGTGGCTGACCAATTTATATTCCCACCAACAATGTGCATGGCTTCCTTTTCTTCACGTCACATTGCCAGCACCTGTTAGCTCTTGTCTTTTTGATGATAGCCATTCTTACAGGCTTGAGGTGATATCTCACTGTGAATTTGATTTGCATTTTTCTGATGATTAGTGATGCTGAGGATCTGTTCATGTACTTGTTGGCACTTACACAATGTTTTATGTCAATTATATGTCAATAAATCTGAAACAAATTACTCTTTGTTATAAAGTGATGTAAATTTTCAAATAATATTGAGGTATAAAAATTAAAAGTTTTATCTTTCAGATAAACTTTAGGATCAAATTGTCAAGTTCTGTTAAAAATTGTTTTTGAATTTTGATTAGGGTATTATGGAACTTATACTATGTTCCTTTCTTCTTTTCCTTCCTATTTTTCTGACTTTCAGTAGCATTATATTTATATTTTATAGTTTTAATCATAGAGATCTTATTAGAGTCTTTCCTGCATATTTTTAAATTTTGGTTGCCATCATGAATGGTCACCTTCATTATATTTTAAAAATTATTATTGGTGTATAGGAAAACAAATGACTTTTCTGTGTTCCTGCATTTGGGCTTCTCAGTGAACTCAGTGCTAATAGTTTTTCACTTTCTTTGCTTGGATTTTCTGGCTAGATAATTACATCATCTAGAAGTTATGAGAGATTTATATTTTATTTTCACATATTTGTATCTCATTCATTTTTCCTGTCCCATTGCATTGATAAAGCGTCAGTGTGATGTAGGGGTGGAGGAGTACATCACTATTTTGTTTCTGATTTTATTGGAAATATTTGTAATGTTTTACTCTTTGTTATAATATATCCTGTAGAATTCAAGTAGATATATTTCTGTGTTTTTAAGTGATGGTGTACTCTCTCTTTGTCCTCTGGTGAAGGTTTTGATTAAGCCTGAGTTAGACTCATAGAGTGAGTTTTAATCTAAACCATCTTGGTCTGCTCCAAGTTTGCAAAGATTCTGCCCCCTCCCCGTTTTTAGCTTTTATGTTTAGGTCTAGGATCCATTTTGCATTACTTTTTATGTATGGTATGAAATAAGAGCCAAGGTTTTTTTTACACAAGTATATCTAATTTTCCCCACACAATTTGTTTTTAAAAAGCTATCTTTTCCCCACCAGATTTCAACCTTTAATGAAATGTATGTGGGTCCATGTCTGAATTCTATTCTGATTTACTGATCTTTATGGCTATTGTTTCACCAATATCTCACTCTTGATTTCTGTAACCTTAAGATAAATTACTGTAAGTTCTAGATTGCTTTGTATATTCTATATCCTTTGCATTTCCATGTAAATTTTAGAATCAGCTTGTCAGGTTTTGAGGGGAAAAAAGCCTATTGGCATTTATATTGGAATTACATTAAATCTATAGATTAATTTTGGGAGAATTACAATTTTAACTGTATTTTGTCTTATGACCCATGATCATTATCCTATCTCTTTAATTTTTTCAGTAATGTATTGTAGTTTTTAGTGCTATATTTTAAGTTCTATTATTTTGTTAATACTTTCTCTAATAATTATTTTGCTTGAAATTTTTTCCAGTGAGCTATTATAGCAACCATTTATTCACCTTTACTTTCGTCCAGTTTTTAATTTGATTTCTAGCACCATATTTCTACGTGAAAGCTTTTAAAATAATTTTTAAAAATTATGTTTATGTATGTGTATGTGTACATCATTTCAAAATATCTTTTGGGTAAAAGTAGTTTGCTAGAAGTCAGTCAGCAGAATTTTGTATTGGCCTCAAAATTTCTTGTATTTTCTCACTGTGATTTTTAATTTGTCTTTATAATTCGGGTTTCATGAGCCCTGCATACAGGGTTTTATCACCTCATATGATTACAGAGTAGTTTTAAGGTCTATGCTTCATAGTGAACAGCCTTTCAACATTTCTAAATTTTAATCTGCCAATATTTTAAGTGTTATATATTTGTTTTACCACATTACTTCCTAAAATATATCAAAATGCTGGCAGTGCACATCTGTCTTATCTTTCACAGTTGGTAGACCAATGATTGAACAGAGAATCCTGTCAGCAATATCTACCAGTGAGAAACCATAATGATAGTCACAGTTCATTTTATTATCTTTCTTTGGTAATATATCT